AAGGAGAAACAAAATGGTCTGCATACTAGTATACCAAATTTTCTATAATAATGACCAGGGGAAACCCAATGGTATGTATATATGTAAGTTTCTATAGGGGTCCAGGGGCAACTCAGTGGAATGTATATATGTTATTTTCTAAAGGGGATGAGGAGCAACCCAATGGTATTTAAATATGTCATTTTCCAAAAGGATATAGGGGTAACGCAATGGTATGCATATATATCTACTATACGGGACCATGGATAACCAAAATATATTTATATAAGTAGAATCTATAGGGGACCAGAGATATCCCAAAGTTATTTCAATCAGTAAATACCAAAGAGGACAAGGGGTAACCAAATGTTATTTCTATAAGTAAAACACTATAGGGGACCACAGGTAGCCCAATGCTATATCTACTATATGGGACCACGGGTAACCCCAGTTATTTCTATAGGAAGAATCTATACGAGACCAGGATTATCCCAAAGTTATATCTAACATAGGGAACCACAGGTAAACAAAAGTTATTTCTATAAGTAGAATCTATAGGGGACCAAGGATAACCCAAAGTTATATCAATCAGTAAATGCCAAAGGGGACCAGAGGTAACCAAATGTTATTTCTATAAGTAAAACACTATAGGGTACCACAGGTAACCAAATGCTACATCTACTATAGGGGACCACGGGTAATCCAAAGTTATTTCTATAACTAAAACAATGTAGGGGACCACAGGTAACCCAATGTCATATCTACTATAGGGGAACCACGATTATCCAGAATTATTTCTATAAGTAGAATCGATACGGGACCAGCTATATCTACCATAGGGGACCACAGGTAACCAAAAGTTATTTCTATTAGTAGAATCTATACGGGACCAGTTATATCTACAATAGGGGACCACAGATAACCAAATATTATTTCTATAAGTAGAATCTATTGGGGACCAGGGGTAACCAAGTGTTATATCTACTATAGGGGACCACGGGTAATCCAAAGTTATTTCTATAAGTAAAATTTATAGGGGACCAGGGGTAATCAAATGTTATTTTTATAAGTAAAACACTATAGGGGACCACAGGTAACCCAATGTTATATCTACTATAGGGGACCACGGGTATCCCAAGTTATATCTATAAGTAGAATTTATAGGGGACCAGGGGTAACCCACAATTATATCTACTATAGGGGACTACGGGTAACCATAAGTTATTTCTATAAGTAGAATCTATACGGGACCACGGGTAACCCAAAATTATTTCTATAAGTAGAATATATAGGGGACCAGGGGTTACCAAATGTTATTTTTATAAGTAAAACACTATAGGGGACCACAGGTAACCCAATACTATATATACTATAGGGGACCACGGGTAACCCAAGTAATTTCTATAAGTAGAATCTATACGGGACCAGGAGTAACCCAAAGTTATATCTAACATAGGGAACCACAGGTAACCCAAAGTTATTTCTATATCTAAAACAATATAGGGGACCACATGTAACCAAAAGTTGTATCTACCATAGAGGACCATAGGTAACCCAAAGTTATATCAACCGGACCACAGATAACCCAAATTTATTTCTATAAGTAGAATATATAGGGGACCAGGGATAACCTAAAGTTATTTCAATCAGTAAATGCCAAAGGGGACCAGGGGTAACCAAATGTTATTTCTATAATTAGAACACTATAGGGGACCACAGTTACACAATGCGATATCTACTATAGGGGACCAACGGTAATCCAACGTTATTTCTATAACTGAAACAATATAGGGGACCACAGATAACCCAATGTTATATCTACTATAGGGGAACCACGGGTATCTAAAATTATTTCTATAAGTAGATTCTATACGGGACCAGTTATATCTACCATACGGGACCACAGGTAACCAAAACTTATTTCTTTAAGAAGAATCTATAGGGGACCAGGGGTAATCCAAAGTAATATCTACTATAGGGGACAACGGGTAACCCTAAGTTATATCTAGCATTAGAATTTAATGGGGACTAGGGGTAACCCAAAGTTATATCTACTAAAGGGGACCAAGAGTAACCAAAAGTTATTTCTATAAGTAGAGTCTATAGGGGACCACGGGTAACCCAAAGTTATTTCTATAAGTAGAACTAATAGGGGATTAGCTGGGGTTACCCAAAGTTTTATCTACCTTAAGGGACCACAGGTAACCCAAAGTTATTTCTATAAGTAGAATCTATAGGGGAAAAGGGGTAACCCAAAGTTATATCTACTATAGGGGTAACCAAATGTTATGTCTTTCATTAAACACTATAAGGGACCACAGGTAACTTAATGTTATGTCTACTATAGGGAACCAGGGGTAACCCAGAGTTATATCTACCATAGGGGACCATAAGTATCCCAAAGTTATTTCTATAAGTAGAATATAGAGGGGACCAGGAGCATCCCAATGGTAAAATAACCAAAGTGAAAGTAAAACATATTTACCTTCAAGTTGAAGAGTCCGTTTATTACTACGCATTCGCCCGTACTATTTCTGGGGGCTCTCTGGTCCTAATCGAGCGACAAAAATATCCTTGTGCAAAAAATTAAAAAAATACTCATCGCATCAGTTTTAGTAAGTATATCTAGCATATTGACGTTTTGTCAATTCAGAAGAAGGCTTAATAAAAAAGTATAACAGTAATACCGAACTCTAAGATAAATCAAAAAGGGGAAGTCCATAAAAACTTATAAAATTAAACGTTAGACTTTAGCAACCAACGGAACGAATCAAAAACAAATGTCATATTCCTGACTAGGTACAGGCATTTTTATGTAAAGGTAGATACAACCCCTTGTATGACAGTTGTATATAGTTATATGAGAGTTGCAGCAAAGCATTTGCAATAAGATTCTAAAATCACTGCAATGAATTAAATCTGAATATTTGTGTTTTAAAAATGTGTAAAAGTGCAGGATAGACGTTTGAAAAAGTCACAAAGTAAATCGAATTGAAAAAAAACTATAATCAAACATTGATTTATATTTAACAACCAAAAAGTACGTTTTCTTTTCAAGTTACATGTTATCATTTTGCGAACTTCTTTAAACGGTTTTGATTTGATATTATATGTTTTCATTATTAAATGATATTTTTGCTTGATACTTAGTGTGCATTTGTTAGCCAATGTTCTCACAATTATCTGTTATATATGCTTCATTGTAGAAAGTCGTTTTGTTATGCAAAATATGTATTTCATAATGTTTAATGTATTACACAATATAGAATATAGTTTGAAAATCATGTCGCAACAAATATCTATTTCCATTTTAGCCTGAGAAGTATTGCGTTGTAACTGACTGACACGATTTTTTTGTATAATTTAAAAGCAATAGGTATTAATCATTCAATTCAAGTATACATATCCGACCTATTTCACTATTCGAATAAAGGTCATTGTTGAAAGTCTCCAGGAAGTATTCGTTCAAATGAATTGAAAATACATGATAATTGTATTTTAAACACATGTGATACGTTTTGTTGCTTTTATGTTCACCCTTCCAGTGACGAAATGACAAGGAAAGCAAGAAAGATAAAAAGAAGAAGGAACCAGATATCATAAAGATCGAAAATTATTACACTCTCTACCGACAGCACTTATTAAAATTATAGGCAAACTTAATTTAGACTGAAAATGATTGTCTGAACTTAAAGCTTCAAAATCTATGTGTTCTGTTTTAGTAAAAAAAAAAACCAATTATAATTGCCAATATATTTGAATGTATTCCTGTAACAAACAGGAGATTATATTTGCTTTCTTTGTTGCTCAATTTGAATAAAGATGGATGCTACAAAATATATATTTTACTTCTTTCTTTTAACAACTCCAAGCACAATCCTTATAAGAAAAACCAATAAGATATACGTAATTCGAAAACAAAATCTATTTTCGAAATACATATCAATTTATATTCTACTTTAAGATTAACATATCAGTCAAAACATAATGTATTGAATTAACAACTCTTATGATTAAATTGAAGTCTTAAACGACCATTTTGATTCAAAGCGGCCAAACCTAAAAACGTTCATATAAAATTACATAAAATGGAGTGAGCGACAATGAGACCATATCCACCAGGGTTTAAATGAAGTGGTAATAAATCATATGCCATCGTTCGAACTTCAACATTGAGAAAATCTCATATCGTATAGACATTTAAGGCTTGTTAAGAGTGTAGTTATTATTTAATAATGTTGTTATAACTCACAAACAGCAGGTGTTACAGAATGTTAGACAGTTCTTGTTTCACCTATGGCAATTGTTTTGTTAGAAGTATGAAATGTAGAGCTTAAGAATGATGTTGTTTATGTTATGTATTATTTTTTTGGAGTCCCTTTCTTTAGACTTTATTCTTTGAAGTTCCTTTCTTAAGACTTTATTCTTTGGTGTTCCTTTCTTTAGAATGTATTCTTTTGTGCTTTTTTCTTACGACGTATGTATGTTTATGACTTCTTTGTGCTTGATCACATTTCCATTACTTGTGTTAGCTTATGGTCATTTTTGAAGATTCAGTTGTTTGTTGTACGCATTTCTTGATCAGAAAGAGATTAAATCTAGTTTTAGGGTCACCAAATCACTGAAAGCTCTTTCTTATGTGTTGATTGAATTGAAATATCAACCGTGGGAATGTTTTTTTTTTTCGTGTGTATTTTCATTTATTAAATGTTCAATATGATTAAATGCTGATACTTTTTTCAATTTTTACTGCGATGATAGTAACAGTTATTTATTGAAGATAGTACAAAAATAATCAGCTTGTAACCTCGTTGATACATTAATAATAAACGCATCATAGTTACCCGGCTTTTTATTTTAAACCAGACGCGCGATTGTCTACAGAGACTCAGCATTGACGCTCAAATCAATAAAGTGAAAAAGACCAAATTAGGAACGAAGTTGAAAAGACGTCACTTTATTTTTGAAAAAAAAAACAATAAAATCATTGTCACTAAAATACGAGTCCATTTCCTGAAAATATTATATATGAACTTCAAAGTAACACACTATACTTTTAGTTGCAGAATCAATTAATCAAATGTTATATCACTGAATACTCAAATCAGAGGTAATGTCTCAATTTTATTATTCAGAATATGCCAGAATTGGTATACATTTGTATTTTATAGTTAACTTATTTGCATATATTGAACATTTCAAAAGTGTATTTATTCGTAAGAAAATGTAAATGCAAAGGAATTTCTTTTAATTTTGTAGGTCGTAGTGTGTATATGTGGTGCATTTCTGACATGTATGTGTTAGGGACAAACTCAAACCGAAATGAAAAACGCCAGCTACACCAAAAAGAACAATCATTGAATTTTACAAAGAGCAAAAAGGCATAACAACGACAACATGGACAATATTAACACTATTATTCTAAAATATTATATTTGATGAGTAAATAGACTCCTCTAATCTTATTTACATTATTACAATCCTGTCTTTTTTTTTATTGTAGAACTATTTTTGGATATGAGTATTTTCTCTTTAGCATTTTGGATGAGGATTAATTTAGTGGTCTGTGTCATAGGTAATAGTTTTAATTTAGTACTACATATATGTAAAAACATAAAGTATGTACCTCATTAAACACAAAGGGCATCTAATACTAAGTACACAAAAATGAGCAACATTTGATTTTTCATCAATTGCTCTAGCGACAAAGGAAGTTTTCTTTTAGAAAGATGACTTACATTATTTATTATTGCTTGCAGATTAATGCACTTTATTGCTTACATTTTGTATTTTGTGTATTTTAACAAAGCATAATCTTATAAAGGCTTGTATGCCTAATTTAACAATACAGCCACGAAATATCTTCAATAACACAATTTTTCCTTAATCCACGAACATTAGTATTCAAGAAATTAATGAATCTTCGGTATAAAAGATTAAAACAAATATTTAAAAAGTAGTTTGATTGCATTTTCAAAATGTCCTGTATTACATTCGGTGTAACTTAAAATCATGAATTTAAAGCGTTGTTTCAGTTGTATAAATAGCATTTTAGAGACATATATAACGGAACAAATTTAACATTTTGCATGCAAATAAAGATTAAGTAACTGCCCATGAATATGGAAAAAAATATATATGTAACTTTCAGCCTTTTTGAAATAAAACAAATTCAATATCCGAAAATGTTTCACCGTTGTTGACATTTACATTGTTTTCCGAAATCCTACCCCACAATTTTTTTTGTATAATGCTATATATAAGAAATTCCGTTGGATTAATATACAATTTTTAGTTAAATCTTCATATTTGTATTGGGGTTTGATTAGTTGAATTATTTCAAAAGCGTGAAAAAAGGACCGAAAAGTCAAAAGTCATGTATTTATTGATTTTTTTGTCAACAAAATTATTTTTAAAGATATATGCATCAAAAACGAATTCGGTGACTTCTTTCAATTTTCTTATAAATTTACAAGTCAAAAACACATGATTTCAAAAGACTAGATTTTCAGAAAAAGAAATTTTAAGTAAATTAATTCAATATTTTTTCCGGTATGTATGTGCATCTTATACTTTGCACCTCGTTCTACATACTTTTTTGTTTGCTATATTTCTTAAAGTCAAACAATTCCCTAATAGTATTTTTGATATTCATCATGTTCATATAATTTTTATATGCTTTACTCGTATGCAAAATGTCATTAGAATTTGTGGCAAATTTATAACTGTTAATATAATCACCTTTTCAAAACATAAATGGTTACAAAAACGTATAAGTGATTTTCAAACATTTGTAAAAGAAATTTTAAAAACCGATTACTTCGCATTATTTTAGAAAGCACTGGTTTCTTGAACCCACTGATAATATAATCTAATTAATGGGAGAGCTGTTATTTGAAGAAGAAAAACACGTTTACATAAAAGACACAACGGAAAAGTATCTGATACTTAATTAGATACCAATCGTCTCCGAGCTCTTGATTTCTTTCTAAATCACCCTAAATTGCCCTTGCTTATCCATGTCATTCATGGTGTATGTTTGTATTTTTCATATATAAGTGTTTGAAAATAACTTTTCAGACAAACCGTCTATCAAAGTAAATGTCAAGGAAAATATAATTGTGGAAGGCGCAACAGTAGATCTCTATTGTGCCACAAGAAACAATAATACAACTACATCAATTTCATGGTATGCAGGAAATAAAAAGTTAATTTCAACAAGTGAATCTTCATTGAACTATAAGATGAGTAACGTCAGCCGATTTGACACTGGCAACTACACATGTTCTGTGCAGAACGAGATTGGAAACACATCTAGTGAGGTATCGCTCGTTATTTCATGTAAGACTTTCTTTAAATAGTATTTGATACACGTATTCTTGTCAACCCGGGGAGTGCCAAGACAGTAACAAGAATATAAAAAGAGAAGGTATTATAAGAACTTTTATTTAAAACATGGAACTTGAAAACGTCGTATTATTCCAGCATTCAAAACATTGTTAATGTTTTCTGGATATATTCTCATGTTGATATAATCCAGACACTTGAGTGAAGAACGGTTACCTTTGAGTTTACTGTGATATCATAAACTTATTGAAAGTGTTATACGACCTGAAAAGCCCATTCCACACGTAGTTTTCTGTCAACATATGTATATATATATGAACCAATAAATATAAGAAGATGTGGTATGAGTGCCAATGAGACAACTCTCCATCCAAGTCACAATTAGTAAAAAGTAAACCATTATAGGTCAAAGTACGGCCTTCAACACGGAGCCTTGGCTCACACCGAACAGCAAGCTATAAAGGGCCCCAAAAATGACTAGTGTAAAACCATTCAAACAGGAAAACCAACGCTCTAACCTATATAAAAAACGAGAAACAAGAAACACTTATAAACAACATCAACCACTGAACAACATGTTCCTGACTTAGGACAGGTGCAAACAATTGCAGCGGGTTTAAACGTTTAAACAGGCGCAAACATTCACAATAACCTGGAGTAGTGGTGTAAAATTACAATATAGAAAGACACACTATAAAATATCAATTGAAATGGCTTAACTCAATCAAAAACACATATTAATAAAAACAAGTAAACATACACTGAAAGAAAAAATTTGATCTATGACACAATATAAATACAATATTAATAAACTAGAGGCTCCCAAGAGCCTGTGTCCCTCACATGTATCTACTGTGGTTTTGGAAATCATGTAAAATAAGGTTAAAATCGTAATAAATAGTATTATAATGGCCTGATAATGATTGAGGCCAAGTTTGGTTTAATTTTACCCAGTAGTTAAGTTAAACATGTTAAAAGTATAAGATTTTTGAAAAAAATTACAAAAATTACCATTTTTTTTTTATAATTGCAGAAAATGACTTTAAAGGACAATAACTTCAATAAGATGTCAATTGAAGATTTTGGTCATATTGACTTATTTGTAGATCATTCTTTGCTTGATATCTGTTTACAGTATATCTCAATCTATAATGATATTCAAGATAATTAACAACAATTGCAAAATGATGCTGTCATGAAAGTCTCCCAAATTGAATACCCCTCCTCTCCAAATTTACTTCACCCATGGCCTGTATAATGCTTGAAATATCAGCAGAAATTATAAGGACCCCCTCCCCCCCTGAAAAAATTGCACACTACTATGGAAAAAAATCAAGTCATCCCATTGTAGTCTTATAAAAAAAAACTGAAGACTCCTTATCGTTATTCAAATTAGTTTTCAAGTTGTGACCATTTGAAATTGTTTTTTTACAATTTTCCTATAGACTTTTATAGTAAACTCTTATGTTCTATGTTTAGCCATGGCAGTCATGTTAGTTGGATGGCAGGGTCATCATATTCATTTTTCATCAAGACACACTATTGAAAATTGTGGCTAAGTTTAATTATATCTGGTCCAGTAGAGTAAGTGGAGAAGATTTTTGTAAAAGGTTACAAAAATTTACGAAAAATTGTTAAACATTGACTATAAAGGGCAATTACTCCTTCAGGGGTCAATTTATAATTATAGTTATTTGACTTACTAATTGATCTTACTTTGCTGAACATTATTGCTGTTTACAGTTTATCTCTATCTATAATGATATTCAAGATAATAACCAAAAACTGCATAATTTCCTTAAAACTATCAATTCATGGGCAGCAACCCATCAGCGGGTTGTCTGATTCGTCTGAAAATTTCAGGGCAGATAGATCTTAACCTGATGAACATTTTTAGTCATGTCAGATTTGCTTTGTATGCTTAAGTTTCAGAGATATAAGCCAAAAACTGCATTTTACCCCTATGTTTTATTTTTAGCCATGTCCACCAATTTGGTTTGCAGGCGGGGTCATCGGACACATTTGTATACTAGATACCCTAATGATGATTGTGGCCAGGTTTGGTTAATTTGTCACAGCAGTTTCAGAGGAGAAGATTTTTGAAAAAGATTATAAAAATTTACGAAAAATTGTAAAAATTGACTATAAAGAGCCATAAATCCTTTAGGTGTCAATTGACAATTTTGGTCACGTTGACTTATTTGTAGATCCTAATTTACTGAGCATTATTGCTGTTTACAGTTTATCTTTATCTATAATTGTATTAACTATAATAACCAAAAACTGCAAAATTTTCTTAAAATTACCAATTCAGGGGCAGCGACCCAACGACGGGTTGTGTGATTCGTCTGAAAATTTCAGGGCAAATAGATCTTAACCTGCCAAACAGTTTACCTGCCAGGTTTGCTCTAAATGCTTTAGTTTCAGATATATAAGCCAAAAACTGCATTTTACCCCTATGTTCTATTTTTAGCCATGTCGGTCATGATGGTTGGCAGACACTTTTTTAAACTAAATACCCTTATGGTGCTTGTGGTCAAGTTTGGTTTATTTGCCCCAGTAGTTTCAGAGGAGAAGATTTTTGTACAAGGTAACAGACGACGACGGACGATGACGGACGACGACGGACGACGGACGCCAAATGATGAAAAAAGCTGACTTGGCCCATTGGGCCAGGTGAGCTAAAAAGGGGGGAGATGTAAAACAATATCAGAAAAACAACTGTTACTATAACTATAAGTCTTGATGCAACAAAGATATTCTATACACATAACATTTTTTAGCATAAAAAACAGAGGCAAAATATACCAAATTGATATTCAAACACATAATTCGAAAAGGTACAGTTTATAACAAAACTATTTTTGTGATAATTCAAACATATTGATACAGTACTGTGATGTCTAACATACTTGGGTCTTATTACCATTTTAATGATTTCGTTTGGTAGATGTACAATATTTTTCAATTTTAAAAATCGGACAGGCAAAACAGCGGCCTGATCTAAACTTCATCTATTGTTCCTAAACGACATTTTTACGTTAATACTTTTGTTTAATTTCTTATTTTTTTCCCTAGAATACTGATCTTGTATCGTTCTATTTAATATTCATTTAAATTATTTTCGTATAGATCCTCCTGTTGTTAAAGTACGGAAGAGAAAATTATCGGAAGACAGTATGCTCAAGGAAATTCAGTGCATAGCCCACGGAAAACCCGATAGTTATAATTACTTTCCGTGGGAACATCGATCGCAATTTGACGAGCATATAAGATATTTAGGCGCGACAGATGATAGAAATCGCCAACTACCAGAAGTTAACGTATCAAACACATATCAAAATACCGGATTTTACATATGCAAGGTTTTAAACGGCATTCCTGATTATCACGGGAATTTTCTTCAACAAGAGAGGGTATATGTTGAATTTGAAGGTATGTATGATAATAATTTATGTTTCTCCTCAACAATATATTTCTGTTCAGAACTTTCAAAGCATACCTTTTATTGTCTGCATACACTTTTGACTGTGTTTGTTTACCTCGCAGATTAAACAAGAAAGCATCTACTTATATAATTTAAATCCCGTGGTAAGCAAAATAGCACGAAACACTACAAAATGGGTGAAACATGGAAAGGTCTTTTAGGATCAATCAATACGCTGTCGGTCCATTGTAAGAAAGGGATGTGAAAGAAATTTATCGTTTGGATTAAACATAAGTTTTTAAAGAATATGCATTTAATTATACAGGAATCATGTTGTTTTTTATTCTTTTTTTATTTTTGATGTTTGTTAAAACTGCAGTTTATTCAACAGTTATTTAGCCTTTGATATCACAGAAGGACTGCGATGACCGAGCGGTCTAAATAGTTTACTAGCCTAGCAACATGTTTCGAACTCAGGCCCCGCACGTGGCAGGTGTGTTCGATTCCAAACTTAATTGACTATTATTGCGAGTTTTTCTAGCGAATGTCGGTACTTCTATCGGGGAACTTAGGCTTTCTACATTAACAAAAACTGCCACGAAATAGTCTATCGTGCTGAAAATATAGTTAATAGTCAATTTTCAATCAGTTAATCAATTTCTCATACTAACCCACATAGGCTCTGGCGATTGCGAATCTCGAAATGTCACAATTCACCAATGTTATTGCAGAGTGCCAGCGTCAAAAAGCGAAAGTGTAACACAAACACTTTATGTGCTCACGTCGCTTGTTAACTAGCATACATTATCAAGACACGAGGTCAAAAGGTGGAAATAAAAAGTAAATAGACATCTGCTTAGCTACTTTACTAAGGTCGTATCTGAATATAGAGCTACTTCCAGTCGATATTGATGAATAGACACTGTATCATACTCAATTAGGAACGTTTGGATCGGTATTACTGTCTTATTGCTTCTCATGAATATGTACTCGTTTACATTATTTTTTTAATTTTTGTTACTTTCTTTTTTTACAGGGCCCCCTGTATTTGCTGCTAACAACAAACGATTTCAAAAAATAACCAAAGAATCAGCGATTAAACTAAAAGTAAATGTGTATAGTTCATCTCAGATCACATGTCACGACATTACTGAAGTCGGTAGTATATCATTAACAAAAAAAATAGGTGTGACAACACGTCACATACTTATCAAGGAAACTTTTCATGGTGCAATTGTTACTTTAAATGGCACAGAAATTGTTTTTGTTTTAAATGGACTGAATGCTGGTGGATTGCATTCGTTCAATGTCACGGTGTGCAACATCTATGGACAATGCAGTATTGTTTTAAAATCCGAATATTTTGGTAAGTTGTTCAACTAAACACACTTTCAAAGGAATAAATATAAGGACTCACGTTACTGTTTAATGCTCAATGGACACATTGTTATAATTATAAGAAAAACGAGTTATTTTAAATATTTGTGTTACTCAGTTCATATTTCATTGCAAAAATAAGATGAAGGGTGATTATTTCAGGTTTATATGTTATTAATGTTATTGTTGTAGTTGTTGTTGTCAGGTAATAAAGTAAGAAAGGCCACTTTATAAAGCTGTTACAACATTTCATGTTTTGATATATAATATTTCACAATTGTTACTTTTTACAGTAACAAGGAATTGCACATATAAGGGCTTTACCATCAAAAAGATTTCATTATCTCATACTTTACCTTTAAACATAGGTCGATATAATAAAAAAAAAACAACATTTGGACAATGCCAATTTATCTATTTAGTTTCCTCCGCATTAAAATTGTGTTTTTGAGAATACTTTATTTCAAGGTTTTACAAAAGTCTGCACACACACACCAATTGGAGTTTACAAATTTGTTGAACACTTAAACTCGTGGCTCACGTATACGCACAAACTCCACATTAATTCCACGAATAATAATGGATCCACGTTTAAATTAGCTAAAAGTAAACATCTCTGCTGCGATTGAATACAATTTCTTTCATTTAAAACTGAACTTTTGATTTCTTATAAATGCATGATAAAAAATGAAAAATTATCCCTATGGTTTTACTTGTTATAACTGTTTCAAAATTCTGAAAAATACATTTCAGTAAAATCATCAGAAGAAAAAGCATTGTCGTCCCGAAAAATCATCAACATAGTATTACTGGTAATTATTTTAGTCCTGGTGACTGGAGTTGGAGTATACGTTTGTAAGTACACAGTGTCTGTTTTAGTTTTTGTGATGATAAGTGTTTAAATGTGTGTACATACCATACAATATAACATTAAGAAAATTATGTCAATTCCATTGAAAGACGACGCATGTGAACAAAACATATTTTTGTTGTTTGCTTTAGGAAATTCAGGGACCTATTATTACTTATAGAACGCTTGAAATAAGATGCTTGTACTTATTTGTTTTACAAACGCATATATAGTGTATGTTGTGAGTACAACGTCCTTGAACGAAGTTTATCAATATTTATGTTTTTAAATTTTCATTTCCTAAATTTCAAAGTTTCTTTTTTAAAATTGAACAGCAATCGTTCTCGGCACGCTTTTAGAAAATGCGTCCCTTGTCATCTGAATAGGAACACGTTACTAGTAATACACATGTGTAAAATCGGAAATTTAACAGAAAAAAAAAGAATCAGTTTGAGTTCACTATTTCAGAAAGCAATAATTGATACATTAAAAAAATAGGGGCGAAAGATACCAGAAGGACATTCAAACGCATATGTCGAAAATAAACAGACAATGCCATGGCTTAAAAAGAAAAAGACCAATTGACAAACAATAGTACACAAAACACAACATAGAAAACTAAAGATGAGAAACACAAACCCCACCGAAAACTGGGGGTGATCTCAGGTGCTTCAGAAGGGTAAGCAGACACATATGGCACCCGTCGTATTGCTCGTGTCATTTCAAACCCGGTAATAAGTCTAATTTGGTAGGTCATATTCGGGTAAAGGAATACGGGATTGTAGTTACGACATTAGGAACATATCCGTTATCATCTGTGAAACGGATATTCCATAACGGTCAACAGTAAATGTGTGTCTTGGTACAATATTGTTTTCGAATCGTGTTGAAACGATTATTGTTGTTGATTATTGTGAAGGTTGTCAAATGATCTAGAACTTTTTGTATATTCATTTTTTTAATCTGAGTTTTTTTATGTTATAATTTATAAGAAGATGAAACAGGTGTACTTTTTATTTTAATGTTTAAATTTCAGTGTACACGAAATACAGGTACAGAAAAAAGTAAGTCTGCTATTGTCGTATGCACTATGATATTTCCAAGTGTATACTATTTATTAAAATCATAAACAAAATGATAAATTTCATTCAAGTACTATGTAGACCTGACAAAAGGACGAGGATTTGAAGGAGAAATAAAAACCCAATCATAGCCATACAAAAAAACGACAAAAACACAATAGAAAGACAAATATTCGTATACCAAACATTTGAAAGAAACCAAACAACTGAATAATATGCGTCAAAAAAAAACCCAAAAAATCTGATGTGATGTCATATGCTATGAGAGGGTATGCAGTCTCTGTTAAAAAAGCCAAGTAATCAAACATAAGTTTTTTTCATTGGTTTCAAATATCTTCTAGAACCCATGTTTTAGAAAATATACTGCTATTACAATCAGTTTGATTCAATTTTGTCAAAATGAGTACCAAATGTTTGATACAGTATCATCTAACAAGCGATTGGATTACATTTGTAACCTCATTTGATTCATATAAATGTCCCATATTTAATGTGCAATCAATAGGAGATAAACTGTACACGTACTACGCATGTTCAGTTTTTTAACAGCATAAAACCATAAAACATGGAAGCCCGTAAAGAGACTGATTCATTGGCGGAATTTAACCTATAAAAAAATGTTTTTGTTCGTATTCAGGTAGAACAATAGTTTTTTTTAAGGAAACACACAGAAGCAGAAGACCTTGATCATACTTTGAACGTGTTTGCCTACAAAGATATGTCTCAATGTTTTACTTTAAGTTACCTTTGAGTCCCAATGCCAATCGGTAATCTTAGAAGGCCTGAAGATCGTAAATAAGAAGATTTTCAGACCCAAATACACACGATATGTTGATACAACATAACTATTCCATGCATACTTTGATGTTTGTTATGGAATTTTTCTTTTGATATTCTTACTTTGCATGTCTTGAGTCAAATTGGTAGTTTTAGTGTTTTTAGATTCAAATTAACTGACATGAATACAGTAGCTTATACTGCTGTATTTCAAGAGTGTTGAATATGTATTGTAAGATGCACTTTGTAATATGACTGCCTATTTATTTAAACACCATAATAGTGTTTGTCTATAGGCTTAACTGAGAGAAATACTTTGAATGCGGCAAGGAAGAGACAAGAGATACAAATCATTAGCCGAAAGTACCATAGAAAAAAACCCACACCAATAAGAAAAACTGATTCAGCAACACAAACCCCACTAGTAGCAGTAGTGGTCTTGGGTGATTCAGACAGATAAGCAGATCATGTTCTTCTAGGGGCATCCATCGAGTTCCTCATTTCGAATTTTGATTTGTTTGTCTCAATTTGATTGTTTCTCAGTTTGTTCTTCTCATTAAAAATAATTCATTACCAATAAACAGACTCTAATGAAGACAGTGAAACTATAGAAATTCAGCGATTTAGGTAAATCGCAAACCATGAGATGGAGAAGGCTAGACCTCAATATAATTAACAACTTTTTTTTAGAGTTTATAGTTACTGAGGTGGTAAATGTGACCATAATGTTGACAGAGATAATTGTGTACTATTATATATAAATCTTTGAATTATCCTTTAATTTAAATGTATATCTAAACTAAGACAATACCTTTTAATGTTATTAGTAAACGATAGAAAATTAAGGACCACCCTCATTCAACGCGAACTATATGATAAAAAATACACTTTGACTTTGTGGCTTGTATTATGCATTTTTTGATACATGCAATAATTTTATCTATATATCCTAACAAGGGCGATGACGTCAATTAATATCCAAACGGCTGAACGGAATGTTGATGAAAGCTCACATTATGCAGAGATTATTGAAGGAGACAGCATACTGACCCAACCACAAGGTACATACTGTTATTGTGATTCCATGTCCGGGTTTAAAACAACCTTTATTTTTTTTTTTTTTTTTTTATTAGCTTTCAACGTTTATGTTATGTTTTGAGCTTCAGCAACACCGAAGAGACAGTTATTTTTGAAATGCGCATCTGGTGCAATAAGATTTAATTTTTTACCGTAAATGCTATTTTGTAACTGTAATACATATCCTTTGTTGATGATTTGCATGTACATGGAAACAAAGTGTTGAGTACGTGTATCCGAGAACCAATACATAAAATCGTCCTGGATATATGGCAGATGTATATACAGTATCTCAAGCTACGAACCCCCTAGGGTCTGTTAAAGTTGTAAATGATTTAGCAAACACAATAAAATAATCAACACCAAATTCTTCAGATGATTAAAAAAGTTAAGATACACGTGACCAACATTGATGAGATTTGGTGCAATAAAACAAAATAAATATTAAGCAAGCTTTTGTTAACGATCGCATCCCTCTTCTTATTAGATCTATAAAACGTACATAAAAGAACATACGATACAGGTAAGTTTAGAAAAATCATAATGACGGCATGATTATGATAAAAGACCTAAGAATTAGTTACAAAGAGCTGTTAGAAAATATGGACATACACATGCATGAGTGTGTTTCCTATTTCTTTATTTTTTTTTGCATTAGACCTTCCAAAATTACATTTATTAGCATTCGTCTGATAATATTCTTAATAAACATCATTTAATTTTGTTTAATAATTAAAAATGAGTTCCGATTTCAGGAAATAATACCCAGATTATTTCAGAAACCTATGGAATAGTTGCTGAAAATAGCAACACAACTGTTATGTCTGACAAACATTCTTCAGCATCATCTAACACTGACATTAATGCTTCAGAAGATTTGGATGATGGTTATGAAAAACCATACACGACATTGGTTGCAAATCATGAAGGAAAAGACGAACATGTTTATCGCAAGACCAAACAAAACTGGACCTATGAAAATTCAACTATCTTTAAAAATGCGACTTTTGAGCATTCCGTTGAGTTTTCATTGGATAAAACTAAAACAAATGTTTATGCGAATGAAGGTCAAGAAAGTGCAAACATGGATTATGGAGAAAACGACTCTAACATGTCTAAGAAAGCAGACGATGATTTCCAACGGTCAAACGTTTGTAAACAAAAGGAAACCATAGAATATATAAACTTGTCAATTAAACAATAAACCTTTAAATGACTATACAAATGCGTTGCACCTTAATACGAAACATTCTTACACTATTCTTATATTCTACAACTCTAAAGACAGTTTTGGTTGTGGAGTAGATTGAAATAAGTATCTTGTAGTACACAAACATAACAAATATAACTTTATAAATTATATGCGTTTGAAGCACTTTTCTGGATTAACATTCACCAGGAACGCTCAAGCCAAGCTCAAGCCAAGCCAAGCCAAGGATGTAAAAAAAAAACATTCCAACACTTGATTCTGGAGATTGATAAAACAGTAAAACTACTGACCTGATATAAAATTTTTGAAATTAAACACATTCTTGTTAATGTAACCCTTTCGTCGAGTTTTCCAATTGACCGAAAACCCGACGTGAAAATGACAATATCAATCCATTAAATCCCTGACATACAATTATTAATAATTGTCGTTAAAAACAATCATTTTATTATTTTATTGAGCCAAAATAATTTTGTAAGTCTGGAAATCAATCTTATTATTTTGCTTTATTTCATGACATTGTTCCTTGCTATACTTTACAGAACCACTGGTCATTTTTCGTCAATATCAATGAATATTTTACAATTGTGAAATGAACAAAGTTTAGAGCACCAACATGATTTATTTCCGTTATGAAACGCATTGTCAGCACTGTTGTGTTGACACGAATTATGGTCATCATTATAAATTTAAATAAAACTTTAAATTTTCGAAATACTAAGGCTTTTTTGCCTTAGGTATATATTAATTTAGCTGTATTTGGCAAAGCTGTTGGAATTGGGTGTCCTAAATTCTCTTCTACTTCGTACTTTATATGGCCTTTTAAATTTCTTAATTTTCGAACGTCACTGATCTTTTGTAGACGAAACGCGCGTCTGGCGTATAACATTTTAATCCGGGTATCTATGATGAGTTTATTGTCAAAAAACATTACATGTATGTTTCATGAGAGTCCGTTATTTTGATTTGCTGAAAACAATTGCAAGGCATTATAATGTCTCATAGTATTTCTGAATAAAATTCAACATTCATGACAACACGTGCTTCTCATGGCAACGTCACAAAAAATGCGTAGGAAAACAAACTGAATTGTTTCATATTTGTCATATCAGGGCCTTTTTATAGGTGACTATGCCGTATGGGCTTCGCTCATTGTTAAGGGTAGTACGGTGATCTATTATAGTTGTTAATTTTGTGTCATTTGGTCTCACGTGGAGGGTTTTCTCATTGACAATCACACCACATCTTATTTCTATTAATATTTTCTATAACTCGTTATTTCGTGAATATAGCATTCGTTGTGCTTTTCAATTTAATAAGGTTGTGAAAGCGTTAATCATGCACATATTTCTAGTATGTAGTGCTTTCGCACTTTATACAAAATATGTTTCTGTCAACGATTTTGCACAACAAAAACTTAAAAAAAGGAGAATGCAATTCTTAAATAAATTCACATCGTTAAGATAATAAAGTTATGAGATATTGCAGCGACTTGTCCAGGCAAAACCATTAAGTGCTTCATATCTATCTGGCACGATTTTTTAAAACCGGAAAGAATTGAGAAGACAATAGTTGTGAATAATAAATAATTCAAGTGTATCCGATCAATTTAACAATTGGAACATTGTATTTGAAGAGCGAGTTTCGTTGTGAAAGTTCCCAGGAAGTTTTTGTTCAACTGAATTGTGTTCATCAAATAATAATTGTTTTCCGAAACAAATGTGATTTGTTTTTCGAACAATAACAATACTGACATGACACTGAAAGCAAATACAATATCTGTGTAAATTAAGTACACAAACTAACTCAAGAATTCAAATAAAGTAAATATTTTAATTCATGACTTAACTATACTCAACAGAAAGCTTTATAAAATATTTGAATATGGGGTCCGTTAAATATTAATTAAGTCACATCGAGAGATCATGTATATTAGTATTTAGAAGTTGAGACACCGTGTATACGTCAATCATAAAGAAAGATGATGCATAAAGGTCACCAAAGTAAGATCTTTATTATAAGACATGCTTATATGTCAAATGTCGTGTTACAAATAGACCAGAGTATAGACAAGTGATGAATAAACCAAAAGAGACTACCAAAGACCAGTAATCAACACCATATGCTTCAATAGGTCAATCTACAACAACCTTAACATTGGTATCAAGAATATCATGGGGTCTTTCAAAGCAAAATTTGTTCTTCAAATGCACAACTCAAAAAAAGGTATTTAAAGGATGTTCGCTCCTCTTTTTTTTAAATTATGCCAGATATTCGGAAACCTTTGATTTTATCCATGTAGTGCCATTAAAAAGTTTTCCCCACTAACCCCCACTTTTCTTTTCATAGATTTATTCCATATAGTTTAAAAAGCCATGTTAAAAAATCCTATAAAATCCTTGTTATTTTGTCATAATTTTTGAAAGAAAAAGGATGCCAATGTTAAATGCATAAAAAGTCTAGAGGGAATTATTTTCCGCTTTTCAATGGCTTATATCTTGATAACAAGCACACGGACCCTTCTTTTTTTCCTGTTTTTTAATCCTTTATTTATATACTATCAATGTGTAATAGTCTTAAAAAGCTTGTTATTTAGAAACAGAGTAGCGAACATCCATAAGTAAGATCTACAGCGGTTTGCTATATCTCTGCTTTTTTTTCAAAGAAACGCATTTCCCAGGAAAATCTATATTTCGAATTGCAAATCTAGTTTATTACGGCAACAACAGATTATCGATGTTTGAATATCATTATTCGATTACAAAGATACAAATGAAGGTAACAAACAAAACGAGGGAATCGCATGAATCCAAAAAGTAGCGATACGTGGTGCGTCAAACTGGATATATTATAATGAATGACGTCAATGAAAGAGAAGTGCACATTTTATTCACGAAATTTTTTTTTTGTAATCATGAAAAATAAAGAATGGCTTAATTTTGAAATGAGTTATTCTTTCAAAAATTTATAAACGCTTTAAAGTGACAACTAAAAACAAAGTATTTTGTATCTGACATTATGATCTTCGTTTTTATAATAATAGTCTGAGGTTTCGTTCGAAATACTTAGGAATTTCTAACCCCGGAATAGATACCACAGCTCTATTTGGCAAAACCTTTCAGAATATTTAGTCCTCAATACTGTTCAACTTTGTTTTTTATTTGGCATTTTAACTTTTTGTATTCGAGCGTCACTAATGGAACATTTGAAGACGAAACGCGCATCTGGTGTACAAAAATTATAAGCCTGATGAGTTTTGTTCATCGACTTGATATATGTAACATTGTCATATTAGAGCTTAACATGATGAGGGTATACATTAAAAATAAAAACAAAATTGCAACAATATATAAATAACACATAGCTGAGAGGGTGATAGAGCAGATTGTTACCCCGAGAAAACATTGTCAACTGAGGCGAAGCCAAGGTTGACAATATCTTTTCGAGGGGTAACAATCTGATCTATCACCCTCTCAGATATGTGTTATTAAATATATTATACTGAATGTGTAGCCGACCGCGCAAGACCCTCATGGGTATTCAAGATCGTTAGAAACCACCCTCATCATCCTACTGAATGTTCTGTTATAACTGTCAATTAAATTTCAAATTCAAGTAATAAACTTTGACGACTTTTACATAACAAACATCCGTATTTATCAAAGCGCACACTTGATCAAGCTTCTCCGTGAAGGGTAATTGAGTATTTGCCAGGGGACAGGGTAAATTGTCGCCTCCAAACAACAAATCAAAATCTGGCAATTTGACATGCATATACTAGTAATATATATTATACTGAAGTGAACTATCCCAGCTTATTCTACAATTTGTTTTGTGAACCTGACTTGGTATATATGTAGGACTCTGAACCACGATGGTACTCCGAACTGCGATGGTCACGCTGACGTGCGATGGTCCACGCTGATGTGCGATGGTGACATTGTGACGCTAACTTGTTGTTAGCTACGCTGAAGTGCGTTGATGGGTACGCTGAAGTGCAATGGTCTAACTGTGACGTTGTGTATACTAGCCAAATGAAGATCTTGTTATATTTCTGGTCAGGTCAAATCAAAGACTTTAATTTTAAATTTGCTAATTATCCGCTTAGCACACAGCAGTATGGAGTCAGAATAGACAGGATGGCTCAGATTAAATATAATGGATTCTAGTTGGAGGACATGTGTTTATATTGAGTGTTCAAGTGCGATAAAAAATACGGGTTCAGCGCGGCGGTCTTTAGTACTAACTAAACAGGAGTCCATTTAATTTTATCAAATAAACTAGTAACTTGTTCTTGTCATGTCATAGCCAAGAAATTGCTCACAACACTCATTCATCAATTTATCTGCTATCATAACCGTTTTTAAGAAATTAAAACCACCAAGTACATTTATGCTACACTTGTAGTGAGACGTGACGCGTGTTCTCTCAAAAGCTTGAGAATTGCTTACTTCTCCGCTCAGCAGCAGAAATTGAGAAGTACAGCAAGTAGGGACCATTCGGGTTTATGTTGACCTTACCCGTTGCAGAAGAATAATACTTTAAGCACAATAAAATTACTAAGAGTGTGTGTTTTCTTACAAAGCAGGATTCATCTCAAGAAAAGAACTAAAGTATCTCTATTTGATATAACGAAAACATTGCTAATAATTAATTTAATTTGATCATTAAATTGTCCAGACAAAATCATGTGAAGTATACTTGAAGAGAAGTCAAAATTAATACTAAGATCAAGACACTATTTATCAAATCCTCATACCAATATTATCTTTTAGCCGCCTTGTTCTCCATGATTTGCTACCTGACTTATTTTATTCATATTTTTGTAATCTCCACCTCCAATGCTAAAAACTGTTCGGGACTTGAATCGCTCGTTTCTTTTTGTTTCCTTTCCTTTGTACGCATGAAACCTTCATCTACAAATCTTATTTAGCTACCTGCAAATCCAATTTGTTTAATAACGTTGTATTGGAAAACGTCACAATATCCAAACGTCATGCCAAACCATCGCACTTCAGCAAAAGGACCATTGTACTTCGGCGTAGACCATCGCACTTCAGCGAAAGGACCATCGCACTTCAGCGTAGACCATCGCACTTCACCGTGACCATCGCACTTCGCTGTCCCCATCGCACCTCCGAGTCCATCATATATACCCAT